TTAAATAATACTGTAAAGTATTTTCTTCTTCAAAGAGATTTTATTTCTATATTTTCTTCTCTTCTAATCCATTATTTTTATTTCTTTTTAGTTTCGATCATTATTTACGCTTGTCAAGTCAAGGCCACTAGAAAGGGATTCCGTTTTTTTTTTTTCTTTCAACCATATAAAGCTTGGTGAACTGCATCTACTCTTTTGGCCAGGCTGAGGTCCTTTTAGTGTTTAAAATAAAATGTATTGGCACAGCGATCTGTCTCATCTTCCAGATCTGCAGAGAATAATTCATCAGTAGAGAGTTGGAAAAATATGATTAAAGTCATATAAAGGAAAGTCAAAGCATGATGTTAAAACATGGGAGTAAATAAAACACTTGGATTCTTTCTCTATTTAATTGTGACAAACCATTACTCTTAATGTTGTTTGGGAGAATTCAAATCTTTATTAAAGCTTTCTTTCTTTCATTAGAAGTATTTCAAAGTGTTTCAGCAACAAATGACATTAAAAAATATAATAAACTTTCAATTAATTAAATAGAATCTCAAACTACAGAAACCAAAATGAATAATTGATTTAAATCCTCTTTAATTGACTGAGTTATAGCATTTATAGCAGTAGAATGCATAAAACATTCAAAATTTTGTCTCTCTTTCCTTAAGCCCAGTTACCACCCTGGAAATTGCTGGCCTTTTCCTGGAAGTCAAGGTGAAGCTGTTGTCAGACTAGCCATGGTTATTATTCCAAGAGCTGTTACAATACAACATATCTCCAAGAAAGTCTCCCCCACAGGAGAGACCTCTAGTGCTCCCAAAGACTTTGCCATTTATGTAAGCATCATGTTCTACTTTAGTTACACAATTTAAGGAAAAAGTACCTTGCAAGTTTCATTTCTATTGTTGTTACTGTTTTAGGGACTGAGAGCTTCCTATCTGGATCAGATTGGGATCAGATGCCAAAGGGATGATGTAGAAATATCATTTCATTGGATATTTTTTATATCCCAATCCACTGTATTATTTTATCTTATTTTATCTGATATGGTCATTAGACTAATCAATCAATAAACAAACATACATATTTTTTAGGGAGAGATCTGCTAACATTCAGATGAATAACTTTGATTTCACTGATGCTGTAATTAATTTGCTGAACGGTTGCTGATTAGACACAACTGATTACCTTTATAGAAGATACTAAACTGTAACTCATATTTTATAAATGGCAGTGGCTGGACTCGGGAAAACCCAGATTAACCACATTATGGTACGTGAACCTAAACCATCTATACAAAAGCAACGTTTTGCACAAAGTCTGGTATTCAGACATCTTCACTGTTAAGACTAATCCTGTAACTGCTGAAGCAGAGTCCTTTGAAAGCTTGAGTTTCTTCATTCTGTTTAACAGTGATATGAAATCACTGAGGAAGTAATTTCAGCTTTGGCATGG